CTTATGATTCCGGGACAGCTGTATCTGGCATGAGCTTCAGGCTGCTTCTACTCATGGCAGAAAGTGGCAGGCAGCCGGCAGGTACAAGCAGATCACATGGCGAGAGGAAGCAAGAGAGAGAGAGAGAGAGAGAGAGAAAGTTGCCAGAATCTTTTTAAGCAACGAGCTCTTGCGGGAACTAATCGAGCGAGAAATCACTCGTTAATCCCCCCTCCCCCAGGGAGAGCATTAATCCGTTCATGAGGGATCCGCCCCCGTGACTCAATCAGTTTCCCACACTGCCACATTAGAGGTCAAATTTCCACATGAGTTTTGGAGGGGACAACACATCCAAACTCCATCANCACACTGTCACATTAGAGGTCAAATTTCCACATGAGTTTTGGAGGGGACAACACATCCAAACTCCATCACATAGTTAAGAGTTTGAAAGCTGGTCCACCCATCTCAGTGAGCCCACTGCATGCCAGGCCAGGTGAAGAGGCCGCAGAGTGGAAGGGCAGATGCTCCACTCTGGGGGGGTTACATTCTTGGGTCGGGGGACAGACACAGAATTAGCCAGAAGATATGGTGTAGTAGGTGGTGTTTGATGCTAGGGAGAAAGTCAGAGCCAGGAGGGTCTGGAGAGTGCCAGGAGGCACCGAGAGAAGTGGATGGGCGGTGTCCTCCAACAGCCAGGCAGACTGCGCGTCCTGAGCTGCCCTGAGCCCTGATTGTCTGTTTCTCTGGGCCTCTGGCTGCACACACAGCAGGCCTGGCAAGGCTGCTGCCAGGTCAGATCTCAGGAGAATTGATTGCTAACAGCATGTATAAAATTGCACTTTAGGATGAGGCTCACCTGATGGCACTGGTGTGTGTGCTGAGCACATGTGCATACAGCTGGTGCACTATAAGTGACCACTCACCTGCTGTTGGGAAGTCCTGTAATCAGCATTGCTGCACTGGTTCTAGGGGCTTCTGGGGCCCCGTCTAGGCCCCAAAGAGGCACCAGCAGGGAGTTGGGACTCCTCCCAGCACAGGCAGAACTGTGCCCCACAGTGGTGCCTCATCAGGCTCCCGTCAAGAGCAGAACCTTCTCACTGGCCCAATCTCCTGTATCTGAGGGCAGCCTCTACTTCAGCAGATCAGCTGTATTGGGGCCACAGGCTGGGGGGGGCCCGGGTGCTGCACAGCAGAGCTGCTGCTGCTGTGCCCCACACAATAGCAGCCGTGTCATTGGCAACCCCTGGAAATCGCTTGGAAGGCTGCGTTCTCCCGGCAGCAACCACTGGCAGGTTCTCAGCAGGCAGGCCACCTCGGGAGCCACAGCCCCATGTCAGGAGGGCTGCACGCAAGGTTGGTGGGATAGGATCTGCTCAGGGGATGGGGTGCCCGGGACTAACACCCCTGTGTAGCTGTGGACCCAACCTCAGGCCCTGTGGCCTTGGTTCTTCCCTGGGCACAGGTGGCACCTGCTCCCACATCTGCCTGGGGTCTGGTCTTTATGATGAGAATGTCCAGCCATATGTGCGTGGAGGGTCGTGGGCAAGGTTCCCTCAGACGCAGATGGAGACCCTTTCAGGAGATAGGACAAGGTTGCAGAAGCCCCTCAGGGCCCATGTGGGGAGACCCCAGCCTCATGCCCTGGGTGACCCCAGCAGCAGCATCTCAGAATGCCGGTCAGAAATGAGCACCCACTGGCTGTCCACCTCCTCTGCCTCAAAACACCAGCCTGTGTCTGTGACAAGGGCCTCACTCTGCCCCCTGCAATCTGGCTTGGGACTGGTGCACACAGAGCCTCTGCTTCCTCCCGCAGTTCTCATGCCCCTGCTCGAGTATTGCAGCGTGCGGCCCGATGCCACCGTCTCACATCATCACTTCTTTGGACCCAATGCCGAGATAAGGTAAAGAGCAGGAGACACCCTGGAGGGGACCCTGTGGGTGCAGAGCCTGGGAGCATTCTCACCACCCTTCACGTCAGTGGAGGATGGGCTCCTGGTAGCAGCGGATGCCTGTGGAGCAGGGAAGCTCCTTGGGGGCTGGGACCACCATGTGCAGGGCACCCTTGCATCTGTGTGAGAGGTGGGGGGAGCGTGAGAGCGGGTTCACACAGATGCTTCCTGTGCTTCCTGATGCAGGTGGGGGCTGGGCGAGGACCAGTGCACCTTGTCGTCTGCACCGTCTTCAGTGGTTCCCAGAGTTCCACATTAGCTTTTTCGAGTTTCCTATAAAAAAATAGAGGAAACACACATGGAGGAAAAGCACATGACAAGGGGCTCCAGCTGCAGTCCTCAAGGTCGCTCCACGCATGTGCACACACGCACGTTGTTTCTGCACATTTACATGTCTGTTGCATGTTGTCTGTGTTAAGTGATGCCTGTTCACTGAAGAACACAGACAACACGCAGAAGGCTCGCAGAAGCAGATGCCTGTGTGCTCCACCCAAGGAAGCTGGAGTGTCCCCAGGATGAGCAGTGGGGCCCTGCAGCCTTGAGAGCAGGGCCAGGTCAGGACGGGATCTGCTGACAGTCCCCCTCTCCCCCAGCCAGCCCCCTGCCCTGAGCCAGCTGGTGAGCCTGTACCTGGGGAGGTCACACTTTCTCTGGAAAGAACCCACCACCATGAGCTGGTTGGAGGAGAACGTCCGGGAGGTTCTACAGGCAGTGGATGCTGGGGACCCCGCCGTGGATGCCTGTGAGAGCAGGTGAGCCTGGGTCAGGAGCGCTGGGTTCACACGAGGATGGGTCGCATCGAGGCTGCTGGCGGCAGCCTCTCCTGCCCCTCTCCTTGGGGATCCTCGTCTCAAGGGGGAGGCAGTGGGAGCAGTGAGCAGCCGGACTGCTCCGCTGCTGTGGGGGCAAGCACGTGGAGGGCCCCCTGGAAAGGTTAAGAGCACACAGCCCCTGGCCTGGACTCACAGCTTCCTGTGAGGTGGCTACCGTCGCCAGCGCAAAACTGCAGGATTGGTGTGTGGTTGTTCTCTGTGAGCAGCTTTGTTCACTGCCGACGTCTGGCAGTGTCTTGTGTCCCACGTCTGCTGTGGTGACAGTCAGTCTCTCTCACCAGTGTCTAGCAGAGGCACAAGTACATGGGAGCCCAGGTGCCACTGCCCACCTGTCGGCTTCTGTCCTGCATGTGGGGATTTCTGTGGCTTGTGATCTGGTGGGCTACACTTGGGAAGCAGTCCCTTGCCTGTACTTGTTCAGTCTGTGCCTTGGTAGCCCCATTTGATCAGCACTGTGGCTGTGAGCAACTGCGGTGGCAGGGACGGTGGTGCAGGGAGGACTCTGAGCCCGCGTGTGTGGGATGTCACCCACTTGCACCTCCTGGGTGAAGTCCATCTGCTGAGCCCTGGGAAGCCTGAAGAGAAGGGAAGGAGAAGGCGCCGGTCCCCAGCACTCACAGCGCACGCACACTGTCCACCTCTGCCTCCCCTTGGACTGGACACTTCTCAAAGGCAGGGACGTGTTCTGCTCCTTGGCTGCTCTTCAGAGCGTGATTTCCAGCAAGAAGCAGGTGCCCTGTGCATGTAGCCGTATGATGGCAGTACCCTGGGCGTCCCATCATGTAGCAGCATCCCATCATGTAGCACTCAGTGAGTCCTCACAGGAAGCCGTTGGCCACGACTGTCGTCATTCCCATTTCATGGATGAAGAGGCTGAGTCCCAGGCCACACAGCCAGGATGTGCCTGTAGCGCCTGCTCCGACCGCAGGGCCAGGGACGCTGTGCTGCCTTGTGCTGGTGGCTTCCAGTGTGGGGGGCAGGGCCATGTGTTCTCAGGGTGACTGCCACATCATTTGCTGCTCCTTGTCTCCCTGCCTTAGGCGGAAGGCGCTCTACCAGTGCGCACCCAGAAACATCTACCGCCATGTGATCCTCTCTGAGATCAAGGAAGCCGTGGCTGCCTTGCCCCCGGTAAGGGAGTGGGACTGAAAATAGGAGCTTTGTATGAGCCGGTCACATGTGCTGGCCCCTGCTCCCAGCAGCCCTCATGCAGGCATGGGGGTGGGCCACGACCAGCTAGCTCTGCCGTCTTGGGCCAGGGGCTAGCCGGGGCTCAGACGCTAGGTGTTTCTGGAGGTGAATCCTTGTGGGCCCCAAGCAGGAGCCCAGTGCCCTGGGCCTGTGTTGAGGCCGCATTGCCCTGGGCTGTGGCTTTGGTCAGTGCTCCATCTGTGGTCTGGTCACTGTGCAGCAGGGCCGCTGGGCCTTCCCTACAGCCGGAGGTTCAGCTGGCTTGTCACAGATCTCATCTGCTCAGGGTGCTATGGAAATGTTAGCCGTTGCTCTCTGAAAACCTAAAGAGAAACTTTATTCTGTCTCAGAAGAATAAGATGGAAGTAAGAAACACGACACATTGGGGGCAGCAAGAGCACAGGCTGGTTGTGGAGGATACAGTGCTGCCTCCTGGTTTGACTTGGGGCTGCCCTGCTGGTCCTCATGCCTGGCACAGCTGGCCTTGCCTCAGGCTGTGAGACGCCCATTCTGGTCAGTAGTGGAAGCACGCAGCACGTGTGCTTGAAGCGCTCAGGGTGTGGGTGGCATACAGGGCCCCGCAGCCTGGAGCTGCAGCTGCTGAAGCGTGAGTCTCTGACACAGGGCAAGGGCTAGGCACACATGGTGACTGCCTGTTCCTCCCACCATGGCCCACCAGCCAGGGGGGAGCGTCCTGCAAGCTCCTGTCGACTGTCATGAGTCTGCTGGTGAGGGAAGCCTGTCCCACCCCCTCGCCCAAGGTTTCTTGGTACAAAACAGAGTCGTTTCTGTCAGACTCTGCTGGGAGACTCCAGGGGCTTCCTGGCCTCCTCCGCAGTGTTTCCATGTTGTGTCCCTCTGCAGGATGTGACCACACAGTCTGTGATGGGCTTTGACCCTCTGCCTCCCCTGGACACCATCCACTCCTACGTCAGACCAGAGAGGTGCGTTCCTCCCGCTCTGCATGTTGGCTCGGGCAGCTCTGAAGTCGGTGCTTCGGGGCCCTCTGAGACTTGCTGCCTCCTCAGGACCCAGAAGCTGACAGATGAGGCACAGGCATTAAGAGGATCCTCCCACCCCCAGGAGAAGGGGAGAGCAGTCATATAATTTGGAGTCACAGATGTGCTTTTGCAGGCTGTGTTATTTCATCCTTCTCATGCATGAGCGCTTTTCTGTCAGGTTCTGTAGCAGGTGCTAGAAATACAGTGGGACACAAAATGAGAATCCACCTCTGCCCTTGTGGAGTGTACAGTGAAATGGGAAAATATGTTAATTATAGAATGTAGACATAAAGTCAGAATTGCAGGAAGAACCTGCTAGGAGAGAGGAGAGTGTGACCAAGACAGGAGGAAGTGAGGGTTATAGGAGGTGCAAAGAAGAATGTGCCTTAACCACACACAGGGGGTGGAGAGGCTGCTGGTATCCAACAGAAGGCTCCATTTGTGCAAAGGCCCTGTGGTCTCAGAAGTGGGGGCAGTATGGTGGAGCCTGACTCATGGCTGCTGGCATGTGGGTGGCTTTCAGAATCCAGGTCACTGAGAGGCTTCTTTTCACTTTTCCTTCTGGCCTTTAAAGCTGAGTAGTTGCCTTGCCTTGGGCTTATCGTCCACAAAGTGGTAGATCTCTGAGAGTCACAGGCAGATTCTCCATTTTAAAAGGGAGCACGTGCTTTCCGGACATTGGTAGGACACATTTCATAGAATGAAGTCCTCTTTTTCCCACTGAATTCTATTATAAAACTTGGACTGAATGTTCATGGGAAAATAGTTCCATTTAATTTCTCCAGTAGATTAAGATGAAACTTATTTATTTGGTGGCTGCCTGGTATGGGGATCCTGACCTTCAACCTTGGTGTCATCAGCACCGTGCTCTGAGTGAGCTAACCAGCCAGCCCATGAGATGAGAATTATTATTAATGTCAGTGGGTTCAAAAAGACCCACTGGGTGTGGACTCCTGCTGAACATTGTAGCACTGAGGAGTCAGATTCGTGCTTTGCCATCCCTGCAGCTCCTGAGGTGCAGGTCAGCGCGGTGTCCAGTGGAGCACAGCTGCAGCATCCTGTCTCACCAGTGAGGGGCTCCACTCTAACACATGCCCTAGAACCTTCTCTCTTTATATAATTGGTTTATAGTTGCATAAGTCCTTGAGTGCTGAGGGAAACACTGAAGCTGCAGCCTGTCTTTCAGGCCAGCACCTGTGCAGGGGCAGATGGCCAGGCTGGCTTTGGTGGTACACGCTGGGCGCTGAAGGGCTGGCCCTTGCTCTAGACCCCCTTCCTGTTAGGGTCTGAGCTGGTCCCTTCCTCGTCGCCCCCTGGGCTCCCACAGCCCCAGCATCCTGACCTGCTACTTGGTGGGAACCTGGGGCCTCAGCTCAGCTGCACCTGCCAGGCGGGGAGGGTGCAGGAGGCAGCTTTTGTGGCCACCGCAAGCTGTGTCAGAAAGTGCCAGCTCAGTTCCGCTTCCTGACCTCTCTCGACTTTCTCTTTCAGGCTAAGTCCTGTCGGCCACAGAAATACAATCGCCCTCTTCTTTCGGTCACTGTTGCCAAATTACACCGTGGAGGTATGTACATGGGGCATATCCCTCTCAGTGCGAACGTCCGGGCCCAGCACTGAGCTGGGCCATGTGGGGCAGGGATGCACCAGGCAGCTGGAGCCGTCCAGCCGGGTGAGGTATCCATGTGCCGGCATGCCTGGCAGGGGTTAGACTTGTGCACTTAGTTTCTAGAAGCTTTCTCTCCTCGACGGGGACGGGGTGTGGGCCACCCCAGCATTGCAGCCCACTCTCCCCCAGGCCCCGGAGCCCGAGACCTACACAGATAGCCCTGCTCAGACGTGTCTCTTGCCGCAGGGGGAGAGGCCGGAGGAAGGAGTGGCCGGGGGTTTGAACCACAACCAGGGCCTGAACAGGCTGATGCTGGCCGTGCGGGACATGATGGCCAACTTCCACTTCAACGACTTGGAGGCCCCGCGCGAGGACAACCCTGAGGGGGAGGGGGAGTGGGACTGAGGCACCACAGCTGCTGCACCCCCACACTGTGCAGTTGTGTTCCTGGTTCTGTCTGGTTGGAGTTGACCTGTTCCCTGAAGTAGAAATGCTGCCTCTTCAGTCTCTCCTATAAATGTTGATGGATATGCTCTGCCGTGGCATGCTCTTTCCCACACACCAAGTCCACATTAGCATGTGGTTCCCTCTAGAAAGAGCCCCGTGCACCCCACACTCCCAGTGTTTGGGACACTAGGTAGAGAAGGGGCAGAAGGGTCGCCAGGGCAGGGTCTCGGGGCTGGGCTGGGTCAGTGGCGCTGTGTCATGTCACCCTTCTGGGACACAGCCCAGTGCTTCCTAAGCAGCTGGGGTCGATGCTACACATGGTCTGTGCAATCTGACAAATGAGCCATGTTAGGAAACTTCAGGGTGGTGTCCAGAAGCAAAGGGAGACCCAACAAGCAGGTATGGAGAGAAAATTGTCTTGGGCAGCTCTGTGGCAACATGGCAGGTTAGGGGGTCCTTGACCAGTGGGTGGACAGGGTGGGCTCTGACCAAAATCCCCAGCCCAGGTGGAGAGCTCGTTGGCTGGGCAGTCCTGGCACACCTGACTGACAACACACACTCCTCACGGCCCTGACCATTCACCCTGGGAGGCAGCAGACCCGGGGGCTGGTGGAGGCACTGCCCACATGCTTCAGGGCAGGGTCTTGTGAGGCTGTGAGGTAGGAAATGTGCTCCACCCTCCTGACCCACGTCCCAGGAAGCCCCTAGCCATGTTCAGTCACTAATGTGGAATCGTCTAATGTGGGGCTCAGTGAGACCTGGGAGGGCCTCCTGTACAGCTATTCCTGATGGGAGCTGGGGAGGCCCTGGGGTCTCCTGACTGGGGGCTCCCAGCACGTACTGAGCAGGAGCCCAGGGTGTAGCCCCCTCAGTGCGGCCTGGAGGGCTCACTGCTTGGTGTTCACATGAGAGGCCACGTGCCCTTCTCAAACCTGGGCCTGAAGGTTGCAGCCCCAGTGTGGCTGGCTGATTCCAGGAGGGCCCCATGAGGCCTGCCATACTCTCACTGACTGGCAGGCTTGTGTGGAGCCATTGGCACCTCACAGCTCCCTCACCCAACTCTGTTCTTTGCCAACGTAACTGGATTCGGTGGAGTCCAGATCCAGCTCAGGGAGTGAGTATGATCAGGATTAATCCCAGGCTGTCCTAAATCCACATGTCCCCAACTTCTACAGTGAGGATGGCCCATGATGAGCCTCAGCTCTTGTGATGGGGCATCTGCTGGGGGTCTTCTGGGAAAGGGTTTGTTTTTTAGAAGTGACAGGCAATCAAGCAGGGCTTGGCACCCTGTCACGTCCTTCCAGCAGCCTTAGATCTGTCCTGCTGGGGAGGTGATGTCTGCCTTCTGTGACCAGGAGTTGAACTCTGAAATGAGCCAGAGTCCTAAGGGTGGTGTAACAGGGATTGAGCCCAAGCCTTGAGGATGCTGCTCACTTAGAGGCCAAGCCACTGATGCTCAAGCAATGCTGGCTGGGCTTGTGTGGTTCCTTGCAGCTGCACACGTCTCTTAACGGCAGTGAGAGAAGAGGGCCAGGTCCTCACATCGCATCTCAACATCCCTTTAAAGGCTTGGCCTGCCACCAGTGTCGGGTCATGAATCCCAGCTCCTCTCTGGACCCTGCTCAGCCCCAGCAGGAGGTTGAGGCATAGGTGAGCCTCCCGGATGCCCGTGGGCAGGATTGCCAGAGTGCACGCACCACGGGTTGGGCACCCCACACCTCCAACCCCCGAGTTCAGAAGAAACTGAGGCCCTCGAACCTAGGCATCGTGACCAGTTCTGGGCCAGGCCTTCCTGAGAAGCTGTGCCAGTGCCCACCGTGGTGAGAACCAAGGGCAGGTTCCCAGCGGCTCACAGCCCCAGAGTCCTACAGAAGGAAGCTGGTCAGGCAGCAGCCCCCACCTCCCTGGCTGTGGCTGTGGCTGGAGGCGGGCAGCTCTCTGGACTCTACAATGAGAGGTTTTTCCCCACAAAGCTCATCGGCACAATGTGAGCTGCAGGCACACTGTGTGCCTGGCCCCGCGTGTGGCTGTGGCTGGAGGCGGGCAGCTCTCTGGACTCTACAATGAGAGGCTTTTCCCCACAAAGCTCATCGGCACAATGTGAGCTGCAGGCACACTGTGTGCCTGGCCCCGCCCTGGTGAACAAGACAAGGAAAGCTCCAGTTCTCAGCCTCCTGAGGACTGCTGTACCTCAGACAGCGGCAGAAAGTGCTTGGCAGGAGAAGGGATGCTGCTGCCCAAGGGAGGGGTGGTCTGCCATTGTTGCCCCACAAGTCCCAGTCATTTGTCACAGCTTCTTCAGGAGGGCTGAGCAATCAGAATTGAGATAAAGTTAGCTGTAGCATGATCTGAATCACAGCTAATTTCATCTTTCCCATTTCCCCCATGACCATAACGAATCAAAAAGTTGACTTTTTCCAACTCAGCTGTACCTCGGTCCCCTTCCCACAAAGCCCCCAGTGAGAACCAAGACAGTCACCCCATTTCCGATGCCTCCAGCTGGGTCTTACCAGGAAGAAGGTTGTGGTCACCTCAGCCAAAGGCTGCCCGATTCCCACGCCCTTTGAAGTCTCAGGCTGGGGGTGGGGAAGGGGGGTGGGGTTAACCACAGCCGTCTCAAAGGCCTCATTTATGGGTCTGGAAATATTAGCATCTTGAAGTGTGATGTCCCAGCAGGCTGGGCAGGAGCCACTCGCTGGTTGGTGTCCCAGAGGTGAAAGGTGGTCTGCAGGTGCTGGGTCCTTCTTCAGGGGTATCTGCCTCCCCAGCCATGACTCAGCCTCCTGATCACCCGAGAGCCTTCACTCCCCTCTGGTAGTTCTCAGCCAGGAGCAGGAAGCGAGGGGGCAGAGGCCGAGGGGGTCCAAAAGCTCAGATGAGGGTGTGGAGTATGTGGGTCCCGTCCTCCTGCAGGCTCCTGCCAGGAGACTTGGGTGAGGCACATTCTCTCTCCCTCCTCTAAATGAGCAACACCTGAGGGCCAGGGGCTTGTGAGCTTCCAGAAACAGAAACAGGCCCACCAATCTGGAAAACGGTCTGACCAAGTCTCCCAAAGCTGAGAATATACTTCTGCTTGTGCAGTTCCACTGCGAGGTGCCTCCAGCGGAAGATAGCACCAGGATGTCACAGCAGCACTATCTGCAGTAGGGAGAGACCAGAAGCTGCCCGGGTGCCCGGCACAACCTGGTCACAGAATGGACATTGGACACTGCACTGAGAGCGAGAGGGTTATGAGACCAGCAACAGGGAGGAATTTCAGTGTGGAGCAGGGGAGGGTGCAAGCTGTGTGAGTCCACTCATGGCGGGTTCCAAAATAGGCCACATTCATCTGTGGTGGTAGAGGCCAGGACAGGGGCTGGCTGGGGAGGCAGGAGGGCCCAGGGTGCAGCCGTGCAGCGAAGCGCTGTGTACTGATCCAGGCGCTGCTTTTGTGGCTCTGTTCAGACTGGGGCATTCATTAACCTGCGTACTTACAATCTGTGCACTTTTATGTATGTGGTACTATAATAAAACATTTTTTAAAAGCAAAAACAACAGAAAGGGAGGAGGCTTGTAAGTTGTAAGATGCAGATGTGAGGAGTGATTAGTATTCATTAGTGGCTGTCGGGTCTGCTCGCGCAGGCGTGGAGAGTGAGCGGTGAGGGCCACGTGGAGGTCAGCTGCAGTCGGGGGTGCTGGCTCCTGGCCCCACCATAAGTCTCTGAACAAGCCACTTTTCCTCATTTCCTTGTTTCCCGCACCAGTAAATGCACAAATAATTCTATTCTCCCTCCACATTGTCCTTCAGAAGGTTTTGTCATCAGCATAGTTGTGGTCTTTGGCCAGGAGGGGCTGGAGCCCTAAGTGAGCCCAGCCAGATGCCTGCGGTAGGCACGGGCACCTCTGCCCCATTCCTGATGGGCCTTCGGTCCATGTCCTGACCACTGCAGGTGGCTGCAGTGGACCACGTGCAGCTGCAGTCCACCGAGACTGGAGGCAGGAAGTCTACCCTTGATGTGATTCTTTCCATGACAGAAAAGGGGGTGCCGTCTGGGAAAGGCAGGCAGCTGCATTCAGGGTGTCCCCATGAGGGTGAGCAAGAGCACAGTGTGACTGCGCGGTCCTGGTGGACATCACCAGGACACCCTCTGGCCAGTCAGCTCCCAGGAAGCAACAGCCACCCACCCCCCAGCATTGCAGCAGGGGGAGTCCCTGCTCCAGCTTGGGGAGTAGACCTTGAGGTCTACTGGATGCCATAAAGGCATGATCCCCTCCAGGGCTCATCCAAGTCCACCCAAGAAATGGCCACCCTCTGCCCTGGCCCCCACCTCACACCTCCAACAGTGTGCAGCTTCTGGAATGCCCACTCAGTTTCTGAGACTTTAATCATTGGAAAGTTCTCCCTAGTCCAGCCCCCAAATCTACCTTGAACTTCAACAGCTGGGTTGCTGCTGTGTGGGGGTGGGGGGTGGAGGATGCTGCCTGCCCTTAGAGAGCTGCTGATGGGCTGGAGTGAGGGGTGGCAGCAGGGGGCTCAGTCAACAGCCATGATCCTGCCAAGCCAGAGCAGCACCAGGCAGGGTCTGGGGTCGGGGGTCAAGGAGAGCTTTGAGAAGGGGGTGATACTTGAGACGGGTCTGGATGAGGGTTAGTTTCTAGATGGGCAAGCCCAGGCAACCAGGCCAGGGGGAGGTAGGGCCAGACTGCAGGGGCTTTGAATGCACCAGAGCCTGGGGCCGGCTCTCGGAACCACCCGGGTGCTGCTCACGCCACCTGGCAGCAGGCCGGGTGCCGTGGGGCACTCATACATCCCGGCACACACCCATCATGTGGCTGTCCTCAGGAGGAGGGGCTCCAACGACAACTTTAAAGATTCAGAGAAAGGCTCCATTCTTCCCAGGACCTCAGCCCTCCCCAGCCCAGGGAGGCAGAGGCTGGGCCAGGAGGAGGCGAGAGGTGTATATATGTCCCAGCCTGTGCAGCCTCCGTGGGAGAGGCAGGGAGGGGGCTGAAGACGGTTTGTTCACACCAGGAGGGAGACAGCCCAGAGCCAGGAAGTGTCTGGACTCCAGCTGGACCATACCTGGCCGACCTTCCTCCAGCCAGGGAGAGGGTGGGTGTGAGGGCTGATCTGAGTGAGGTAGGCATACAGGACACTGAGCTGAGCGGGATGCCTGGAAGGTAAGCTACCCCCTCCTGCTCCCGGGACGGGACTATGCCCCCTGTGCAGGGCCCCCAGAGGAGGCTGCTGGGTTCCCTCAACTCCACATCCATGGCCACCCCCCACCTCATGCTGGCCGCCAACCAGACAGGCCCCCAGTGCCTGGAGGTGTCCATCCCAGATGGGCTTTTCCTCAGCCTGGGGCTGGTGAGTTTGGTGGAGAACGTGCTGGTGGTGACCGCCATCGCCAGGAACCGCAACCTGCACTCACCCATGTACTGCTTCATCTGTTGCCTGGCTGTGTCCGACCTGCTGGTGAGCATGAGCAACGTGCTGGAGACAGCTGTCATCCTGCTGCTGGAGGCAGGTGCCCTGGCTGCACAGGCCACCGTGGTGCAGTGGCTGGACGACGCCATGGACGTGCTCATCTGCGGCGCAATGGTGTCCAGCCTCTGCTTTCTGGGCACCATCGCTGTGGACCGCTACATCTCCATCTTCTACGCCCTGCGCTATCACAGCATCGTGACACTGCCCCGGGCACGGTGGGCCATCGTGGCCATCTGGGTGGTGAGCGTCCTCTCCAGCACCCTCTTCATCACCTTCTACAGCCACACAGCTGTCCTGCTGTGCCTTGTCAGCTTCTTCCTGGTTATGCTGGCCCTCATGGCAGTTCTCTATGTCCACATGCTCACCCAGGCCTGCCAGCATGCCCAGGGCATTGCCCGGCTGCACAAGAGTCAGCGCCTGGCACACCAGGGCTTTGGCCTCAAGGGCACTGCCACGCTCACCATCCTGCTGGGCGTTTTCTTCCTCTGCTGGGGCCCCTTCTTCCTGCACCTCACACTGCTTGTCCTGTGCCCCCAGCACCCCATCTGCAGCTGCGTCTTCAAGAACTTCAACCTCTTTCTTGCCCTCATCATCTGCAACTCCATTGTGGACCCCCTCATCTATGCTTTCCGCAGCCAGGAGCTCCGCAAAACGCTCAAGGAGGTGCTTCTCTGCTCCTGGTGAGCGGGGAGGGTGGCTTCCAGTCTCAGGGTGCTGGGCTGGGGTCAGAGTGTGATACTGTATGGCTTGATTCCTATGTGACCTTGGGCAGTCCTTTCCCTTTCTGGTCTCCATTTGCCAAAGAGGACAGACTCATGATCTCTGAAGGCATGGAAGCACAGACCTCTGGGATCAGGAGGAGATAAGTGCGAAACTCCGGGTGGGACTCCTCAGCAGTGTCGTGGGGAATGGGGAAGACTGGGGAGGTGGGGCTTCAGGCACCAGGTGCAGATCCCAGGCTCCTGAAGAGGCACTCTCTGCCCGCCCCGGAGAGCTCCACCTCCACGCAATGACTGGGCAACACCCGCGCATACCCATCTTTGCTGCAAACTCTCAGGACTTGCCCTCATTGGCTGGGATGTGAAATCTTGGGGTTGGAAGAGCTTCAACAGACACTGAGGAGGAGTACTGCTGCGGGAGGGCCTCTGGAGAAGGGCCTTTGTGACCAGAAAGACCCAGCTACAGCCAAGCAGTGGCAGTTTCAGGAAGAAGTGAGCTCCCTGCCTCCAGCAGAGAGATGGGAATTACAGGATCCCCATGAGAGGGGCGGGGCCAATCCCTCCCAAGGTCCAGTTCTAAGGCTCAGTGGTGACTAGAGAGCTGGGTTCTCAGCCGTTCTGTCTGCACCACACTCACCCCAGGCAGACGGCTCTGGCAAATGCCTGCTCTAGACACAGTAGAGGTTGTTAGTCTGAATCAGTGACTAGTGCCCAGGGCTCGGGGCTCAGAGCTTGGAAATGTCTGGTACTAAATGCTGAGCTCGGGGCTCAGAGCTTGGAAATGGTCTGGTACTAAATGCTGAGCTCAGGCACAGCCTCAGTGCCATCCATCCGGGCCCGTTCCAGAAGCTGCTTGAAGTTTGAGGGTGGAGGAGTGGGAGAGGGGAAAGAGGGCACGGGTGGGAGCCATTGGGTGGGGGATGGGCATCCCAGAAACCATAGTTGGTGAGGGAACCACAGCCATAAGGGACCTCAGTGACCATGCAGAGAGTGTGGAGACCTCAGTGGGCCACTCTAATCTTGCTCCTTGGCTTTCTCTCTGTGGTTACAAACCCCAGCCCAGAGCAAGGAGAATGGGCTTAGCAGCCGACCCCGTCACTTCCATGGTGATGGGACTGACACCTTCCAGGCTGCCTTCAGCCCAACCACGCACTGCACCTCCAAATCCCAGCCCCTCGTATGACCCACATTACTGCGATGTGACACACTGTGAATGGGACCATCCTTGCCTGCTCAAGGTGGGATGAGGGTCCTGTGGTACAGGGTGGGCGTGGGGCTGGGACCTGCTCTCTACCCTTCTGGGAGAGGGGGTCAGTGCTCAGCCAGCCCTGGGAAGTATATGAGGCAAGGCCTCTGAGGACGGAGTGCTGGGCAGTAGTGGAGCCCTGCCCCACACCTCCCCTCCCTTTAACTCGGGCTTATCACTGAGGGGCCCACCTCGCTTTCCTCCACCAACACAGAGACAGGCTCAATGGAGGGAGGATGGCATACTGGCCAATTCAGAGGCAAGTCTAGTCCCAGTAAGCAGCCCCCTAGCCAGACCCCACCCATGCCGTCAGCTCCAGCCCTGGCTGCTGGCCTCAGGGCTGAGAGCTGGTTCCCGGCAGGGCCAGCCTTTGCTGGGAGACAGGACAGTGAGTCAGCCTTGAGCCTTGGCACCAGACCCCTCTGGGGACAGAAGGGGAGCCAGCTTGGTCTGACGCCATCCCGGCAGGGAGGCTGTCTTGCTCTGCAGAAGGCTGCAAAGCGTCTTTCCTTGCTTAGGCAAGGAGGCACAGCCCCATTCTTAGCCAGGACCCCTTGAACAGGGACAGGGAGGGGCCCCAGGCAGCTGGAAACAAACCACAGAAAGCTACGTTACGGACACATTGTGAGGGAGGGGCGGCTCGAGAACAAAAGACCCATTTCTAGACTCGCCAAACTGGGAGCTTCCCTTGAGAGAACAGAGACGTGTAGGCGGCCACACCACACACACACTGTCCTGTGCACACACACACTCCTGTGAGCACACACCGAACACAGGCATTGCTGGCTTGCTCTCAGCGGCTCGTCTTGTGGAATAAATGCAGATTGCTCGTGTCATGCACTCTGGCGCTGAGACCCTTCCTAAAGGATTTTTGTTACTGAAGTATCAGAAGGACCTTATTATGAGGCGGTGTCCCTGTAACGTCTGATCCCAGGAGATATTAAATCAGTGGCTTGTATATGTATAATCGCACATCCATTCTATTCTCTCCCTCTCTTCTTTTCGGACCTGTGTGTTCTTTCCCAGTTGTCCCCAAGAGGTCCCTCTGTACAGTCTACCCATATAAGTCCCCCTTATTGTCCTCACTTGTACCAGAGTCCAAGGGCACAGGTGACAGGGAATGAGTGGGACAGAAACACTGCCACTGTCCGCACGCTGGCTGGCCCTTGCCTGGCTCGTGTGTCCTTATGACATTCCTGACGCGGACATTCGTGGAACATCCTCACAGCCAAGGTTCATTTGGATCCTCAGAACAGCCCCTTGAGGGTGGCGGGGGCCGGCACCCTCCACTGCTGAGGACAGTGACACCAGGCTTGACTCCTAACCTCCCGCCACCCTTCTGTGCCCACAGCCCTTCCGACTCACGCTTCTGAGCCTGCCTGATGCTTTCTTCTCAGTGGGTGCAGGACCTGCTCCAGCTTTTTCCTGCCTCCCCCACCCCAAGGGATCCAGCAAAGCTCAGAGTACGTTGTCTGCCGGGAAGGTGGGGGCTGGTCCCCAAACGGACGGGGGAAGGAAGACCCGCTCACAAAGCGGCAGGGTGGGGCCGCCGGGGTGGGGGTGG